TTTTACTACAGTACAACTGCTGTTGACAGGCTCCTCCAACAAGTGCAGGAAGATAAATCACCAATGACGGAATGAGAGAAAATAAAACATAAAATAAATCACCAATGACTGAATGAGAGAAAGAAACATAAGGTAGATCACCAATGACTGAATGAGAGAAAAAAAAGATAAGATAGATAACGAATGACTGAATGAGAGAAAGAAACATAAGGTAGATCACCACGGATTGAATGAGAGAAAAGAAACAAAGAAACAAGAACAGAAAAAAACAGGGACTGGAATACAGTGCATCCTGTCTTTAACGACCTTCGATATGACGGCATTCTCTGTATAGCGACATGGTGCCAAAGTCCCGATTTTTTCCTTATATATCACTTGTAACTTTTGGTTGTCTCCCTATAACTCTCTATAACGACATTTTGTCTGGTCCCGACGATGTCATTATAGAGAGGCTGCATCGCAGAAGACAGCTTATGACGAATATAAGAAAGCGACAGGCAAATTTCTTCGGACACACAATGCAGAAAGAAGCATTGGAGAATATTATAACAACAGGCAAGTTTGATGGAAAGAGAGGCATAGGCAGACAGAGGGAAAGGATACTGGACAACATGACAACATGGTTAGGAGCAGCAAGAACAAAAGGCACCATTGCTGCAACGCAAGACAGAGTGAAGTGGAGGTCCATGATCGCCCACGCCAGTCGGCAAGGCACCGGATGATGATGACTGTAGTTGAGTGAGCCTGACTGAGCGTTTTCTGTCTCTCCCCAGGTGTTCACTGGTAACTCCAACACCTGTATGAAGATCACCAACAACCAGGTTCAGAAGATCATGGCCCAGGTGGCCAAGCACAAGACAGACGTGCCCCAGTTCTTGGACCTCCTCAACGCTGTGGTTAAGGTCAGACATGCTCACAAACTGAACTCTTTGTAGACAAAAGGCAATCATTACATGTTTAAACTGCTCCACGCCGTAAACGTTCTCTTTCTCTCTCTCTCTCTCTCTCTCTCTCTCTCTCTCTCTCTCTCTCTCTCTCTCTCTCTCTCTCTGGCTCTCTCTCTCTCGCTCTCCCTCTATCTCTCTCTTTCTCTCTCGCTCTCTCTCTCACTCTCTCTCCCTCTTTTGCTCTCTCTCTCTCTCTCACACACACACACACACAAACACACACACACTCTATCACTCCCTTTCTCACTTCCTCTCTCATTCTTGCTCTCTCTCTCTCTC